GTATGTATGCTTATATAATGCTTTGTAACCACATATTTTCACTTGAATTCACTAAGCTTTATAGCTTACCCTTTTAGTGGTTTTAACCTTTCAGGGAAATTGGGCAAAAGTAAGAACAAGGTCGAGTGATCGATAGGAATTTGCAGGTGAAGGCCGCTTTTGGTTTAGGTATATATAAATATGTATATTAAACTTTTGGGATTGTAAATAGTTAGTATGTTCCGGGTAGACATGTCCCCGATGATCACGTTATGTAAACTTTAAGTATTAAATTATGTGTCTTGGGATCTATATCGTTATCCCGTAATTTGAGGTTTTTTTTTAAACTAAATTAATTTAATGGTGGTTCGGTAATTGTTTGTTATGTAACCGTGGTGTCACAAGAGTGTTTCTCTGCATGGAGATAGAACACATCTATTTATACCCATTGCATTAAATACACATTTAATGCAATGCAGTAGGGTTTAAACACGCGTCAAGCCTTTAGAGAAAGACTTGTCCTTTGCTACAGTGAATAGTACAAAAGCCTATTCATGAGCAGACATACTTTCATGGAGTTGGTGGGTTGTAGAGTCAACTAATCGGCTCTGTACCGTACTATACTCTAGAAAGGGTATGGGTTTGTTCTTTGTGTATGGAAGGACAAGGCAAAAGCAATCTTGCTCAACAAGCTTCTTTTGATCATTGAATGTTGGACTGAAGATTTCTTCAGCATTCGCTGAGGCTTAGGCAGTATTCACACATATGTAGACCAGGTTGTAATTACTGAATGCCGCTTCAGATCACGAACGCGCCAGTCTCTAATCTTTAGTTTCAGTCTTCGACTTTTGCTGAAGGTGCTTTGGTATGAGTTTTGTCTTCTTGATGTATCACTGATGGATTTACATTATATGTTTTCAGAGATCACTGAACAAACTCACTGATGATCACTGGAACTGAAAGACAAACAATAATACCTCGTATAATGTAAAAGGGATTATCATCAAATCACTGATAGAAAAGATCAACAAAAGATTCCCAAGGCATTCGAGCCATAGAGTTCATCAATTTTCAGAGTGTTGTAGTTTCAAGCCTCTCAAAGCTTGGCTCTACAATTGATTCTTCTACCCATTCCATAGCCAACTTGCAAAGCTCGATTGACATAATGTCTGAAAGAGTGTCGATTCTGGAGAATATTTGCCGAGCTTAGGCCACCTCTCTTAAAAGAAGACACGATGATCAGGATGATACTAATCACCATGAGGGGGGAGAACAAGAGACAGAGAGTGGCTGAGACCTCGAGGGGTAAAGAAGTATTGTTGTCTGAAGGAGAGAACTTGATGAGCTTAATGATCAAAGTCATGTTCAAGCTGGTAATAGTGAACGGACTACATGCCTAGAGATGATTATAGCTACAGACCCAGAGATCGAGCCAATGGTTGAAAAGGCGGCGGTCTCCACTGTAGAAACAAGGATGTTGTTGGGTCCATCAGCAAATGTGAGATTTAATGAAGTATTTTCAAGGGAGATCGGTGGGGTTTAGAATTATGGTGCTGAAGTTGAAGATAATGATGACTCGGATGATTTGTTCTTTGATTTTGAAGCTGATATGGATGAAGATGATCCTATCTTTCCACTTCAATCCGATCCTAAAGAAGTACCTGAACCAGCTTCGACCGAAGCACCAAGTATTCCTGACACGTCTTATGTTCCACAAGCTGCAACTGCTAGATCATCAAGGAAGTATATACCTTTTGTTGTAAGGGTAAATTCACCAGGTTTAGACCAGGGAAGAGTCAGAGAACCATACCTTGAAGACTTATATCCTGATATATTCATTCGTCATCGAAAAGCCTTAAGTTCAGACAAAATCTTGGGTATTCACAAGGGAACACGTGAGTACCGTAAAGAGTACAAATATTACCTCAAAGAAAAACAACAATCCATCAGCTTTGTATGAACCAAACACTGAATCGTCTCGATCAAGAATATTGAAGCCAAGAAACTAGTCAGTATCTGGTATCCAGTGTTCTACGTGACAAGACAAGATTAGGGATGGTAATGGGGCGGGGATGGGGAGGGGACCCCAATCCCTGTCCCCGTCCCCGATCCCCGATCTTTGTCCCCGTCCCTGTCCCCATCACCGGGGATTTTGATCATATCCCCATCCCCGTCCCCAACGGGGAACGGGGATCCCCAACGGGGAAACGGGGATTTTTTTCATGTTTGTATAAAAAAAATATTAAATCAAATGTTTGAGACGCTACACATATTTAAATCTCACATTTTTCCAATAAACCTAAAATCAAAAGGAATTTAATTTAATACAAAAAATATATATCATTATATAATAATTAACAATGGAAAACAAAACAAAAAAATTTAATCTAAAAAAATTAACGTCACATATACCAAAACATATTGAGTAATATCCAAAATATTGAAATAGAAATTACTATTTACCGATTTAATAGAAATAAATAATATATAATATAATATAATTAATTAATATATATATATACGGGACGGGGCGGGGAGTGTGATACCCGCCCCCTCCCCATCCCCGGTTTGAGCAAACGGAGATCCCCGTCTCTGTCCCCAAGACCCGGTTTAACCATACTGTCAGATTGGAAGGAATTTTCAGAGGGATTGAAGCTATCAAACAGTACCTTAGATGTCATATTAAGCTCTCTTCAGTTATTGATGTGCAAATGGGGTACGAAAGTAATAAAAAGAATGTCAACCTGAAGAAGCCAGATTAAGAGCTAGAAGACATCGATGGCTACCCTCTATACGTGATTCTTGAAGATCCGGATTTCAAGGTGATCTATGAAAATTCTGAGAAAGCTAAGAGATTTTTAAGGTTCAGTGAGCTAAACAAGTACTGCGATGGAACAGCCAAGATTGTGAGGAAAGAACTAGAAGGAAGAAAGGCTCTATATGACAAAGCTTCTTGTCATAACATATTAAGTCTGAGGGAAAGGTTCTTACTGATTAGTGCTCTGGAGCTTCTTGATGAGAAGATGCAGTATCGTAATGCTAAAAAAAGATGTGTGAGGAATTTGGGCTTCAGAAGATCAAAACTTACAATACCTCGTGCTTGAATCCAAAGGGGGAGAATTTTGGGTTCAATTAATGTGTTTTAAAGTTGTATTCAAATAAGTTTCTCCATTGTAATTTTGTCTTGTAATTTCCTGCTATAAATAGCTTTGTCTTTGTAATCTTTACATGTACTTTCATTTCTAATTGTAATTGAGCCTTGAAGATCAATACACTTTGAAGATTCTCTCTCAATATTCTACTACTTTCAATATTCATAATTTTTCATTTGTGTTCTTGATCTTGTTTGGAAGATTGGTTAATCAATCTGGGAATTTCAGATGGGCATGTGCACTGCCACTGTAGCAACACAAATGACCACTTTGTGGACTTATACGGATTTTCTGCTATCAATACGCTAATCAAGGATACATTTTTCGTCTTAAACATGTTCATAAATTCATTACAATCAAAAAAATAAAAATTATCAAACTCTACCTTATTAACGAATTAATTGATCTTGAGTTCAAACCAAAAAGTTGTAGCAAAACACAACCATGTCAACATACTATCTACTTCTTAGAGGAAAGACTTAGGGGTAGTATAACAAACGCTTAACCCATAAGCACTTATGGACAAGAGCCACCACCCTTACTTACCTTAGATAACATTTCTAGCCATCAAAATAGATTGATGGTAAGCGCTTACGTGGTGATGAGCGCTTACGTGGTGGTGAGCGCTTACGTGGTGGTGAGCGCTTACGTGGTGGTGAGCGCTTACGTGGTGAGCGCTTACGTCGTGGTGAGCGCTTACGTCGTGGTGAGCGCTTACGTGGTGTGGTGAGCGCTTACGTGGTGGTAAGCGCTTACGTCACCACGTAAGCGCTTACGTGGTCGTAAGCGCTTACGTGGTGAGCGCTTACGTGGTGGTGAGCGCTTACGTGGTGGTGGTGAGCGCTTACGTGGGGTGGTGAGCGCTTACGTGGTGTGGTGAGTGCTTACGTGGTGGCCAGCGCTTACGTGGTGGTCAGTGCTTACGTGGTGGTCAGCGCTTACGTCATGGTAAGCGCTTACGAGGTAAGCGTCACCACCCTCACTTACTAGGTAAAACTCTCGATCCTTACCTTCCCTCTTACTAGGTAAAACTCTTGATCCTTACCTTCCCTCTTACTAGGTAACATTCTCGATCTTTATTATACTCACCCAATAAGCTAATTGACCCAATAAACCTTATCTGGTTAGTGTTTGCTAAATGGCTCCTTAGTAACATAATTGCGTATGACACTCATAGTTATTGAGGAAGATCTAAAAAAATACATTACCCCTCAGAAATGCTATGCTCCACAAGAACATCATTTAGAGTTCTATATATTTCAAAGTTCTATCTCCTTTTGGAGGTGATTCCGGTTGTTGATGTGATGACTAGAGATGCATGAAAAGCTTTGGCCCGGACCCGATTCCAAAAAGAGTTTGGGCCTAGTAACTTTGAAGACCGGGCCAAAAAGCCCAATCAAGACAAGTGTTTTTTTTCACTATATACAAAGTTTAGCCAAAGCAAGCATAAGAAACATGATCAATCATGACCCTCGCCGTTTTTTAGATTATAAAAAATGGCTAGGATGGTTGGGGCCTTGTACATCATGATCATTGTGGAAACCACAATATTTTGTAAGGTCCCTATAGAAAATATTTTTTCAAAATAGACATTTTTGAAATTGTAAACCTTAAATAAACGTTTTTTAAACTATAGACGGCCAAAAATGACAATTAAATAAAAACACGTGTGTTTGTTTTTGCTCTATTTCAATAAGCTTATATTTTTGTTTTGGCCCTTTTAGCCTTCAAACACTACTTTGAATACCTTTTGAATTCTTGAACTTTCCCTCCATACCTTATGAGATATGATTATATTCTTCTTTTATCTATTAAAATAAAATAGGAATAAAAGATAAATATTAACTTGCTTGTATTTCTAAACCATGATGAAGTAACCTTTAGCATGACTATGAAGAGTGGTAAAGCCAAGGATTATTATAATGAATTACATGTATAATATGTACAGTAAATTTACAAGAAAGAAAGCTGGGAGAGATGGAATCATAGAGCCTTCTGATCTAGTCTTTCGTTCCAATTGAGGCAACGAATCAAGCTACGAAACCAATCCCCGGTCTGGTCAAACTTGTTAACCGTTGGAAGTGGATGTTGGCTCATGCATATTCGCACCGAGTCTCCTCTCGAAAGTTGTTGCCTTCTCTTTCCATCAAACGACACCCAAGCATTACTTCGGGCATCTTCTGGTATCTGCATTCCCACACACAAAATCCATACTTAATTTAATTTTATACAACTAATAATAATAATAATAATAATAATACCATTAATAAATTAAAAAACAAAGAAAGACCTTTAATTCAAGACGTGCAGAATCAGGAAGTATAACAGGCCTGAAGGATAGGGAATGAGGACAAATGGGTGTAAATAGCATGCATGGAACATTTGGATGCACCTGCATTAATTGCAATATAACCAACCCTAAGATAAAACAAATAAAAATAATACGTGAAAAATCAAAATTCCAACTCATAATTATCCCACAGAGAGGTAGGGGTAGAGGAAGAGGAAGGAACATACCATTGAACCTCCTGCGGCAGTAGAGTAAGCTGTACTCCCCGTAGGTGTCGCTACTATGACTCCATCACCTTGCACCTACATATTACATAAAAAATGATTTTCTTTTTTTATATTGGTTGCATTTTGGCAACTAAATCAACAACAAACATACATACATAGATACCTTGGTAATAAGGCGGTCATGTTCAAAACACTCGATTTTGGAAAGATATGGGTTAGAACCACGATCAACCACAACCTCGTTCAGAACATCAAAAATCTTTCCTGGCATCGCTTTCCCATTTCGGAATATCTCACAACGCAAACGCATTCTAAGAGTTATATAAACACCTTCCAATGTGTTGTTTCCATGGATCACTCGTTTCAGATCCTGCTTGAAGTCTTCAAACTGTAGCACAAGAGATAAAACTACTTTATGACCAAACATTCTCTTATAAAAACTTGGCATCTTTTAATCTCACGAGTTAGAGTAGATGCTTACAGCATGTGAAGTGAGAAAACCAAGAGACCCAAGATTGAATGATACAACAGGGGGAACAGCACCTCTAAACAAGTTTGATGCATGCAGAATAACCCCATCTCCCCCCAAACACGCAATCAGATCTACCCTCTCATGTAGATCACTGCATTAACCAACCATCAACCAACCATCAACCATCTCTTTAACACCATCAAAACCGTAAACAAAACCAAACAAAACCACCCGATAGTGGGGTCGGGGACTGTTAGATACACAGACCTTATCTGTCTCAAGAGACATAGTCTCCGAGAAAACACCTCGCTTGCCAAAAATGTAGGTAGAAGTTGTAAAACAAATAGAAAACACAACAGAAAGCCACAAATTAGTGAAACACCATGCATACACTAGTGTTGTACCTTGTATCTTGACTGTAGAAGGTCTGTACATAGCCAAATCCTGGTATTCTTGCGAAAACGTCATGAACCTCAGGTTCCACAAGAACATTCATGTTCTCTTGGTGATACAAGAAAGAGGCAGCCTGTATTTCATGCAGAACTACTGTCAGAAAATCCAACGTGTGAGCTGTATGAATGGTTGAAATGTAACTATTCTGATGTCCAACTTTTTTTAATTACAGCTGGTGTCCAGCCATCTTGCACGCATCTCGACTAATCCCATGGGACGCTGAAGTTAACAGCCTCCAGTGGCCCCCAGTGGACTCGAACTAGTGTGATGTCAAATTTTTGCACAAAGTAAGTGGTAACATTGTTTTATTTAAATAATATCAATGATAGATGCTACATATAAAAGGAGCACAAGACATTTGACTGTTCATAATTGCTAGTTTATGAAGAGAAATGCAAACAGTATTTGCAGTCGTTATCTTGTTATTGAATGATATAAGTTTTATAGTTCATTCCTAGTTCTCGAATCAGCCTACATATAAAAGGCCTTGAAGCCCACTTTAATATAAAAATAATCAACCTTTTCATTGATATTACGAGTGATATATGAACAGTGTTGTGTTCTAAACAGTTAGCAAAATATGTCTTTTGGACAATTAAGGATGTTTTTGTTATAACATATTACTTTGGCTTTGAATCTTGCCCTTAAGTGTGTAGATGATACCATCCAACTAAGTTGAGCATGGAAGGCCCAAAAGATAAAAAGAAATTCTCTTCACTAACAATTTGTTTAATTGATACGTACATAGAACCCTGGAACTCAGATCTTTCTTCATCTCTCACTTTATGTCCCTCGAATCCGTTAGGTCACTAAAGCAATTGAACTTTAAACTCACAAGCCTATACAACATGACCAACCATTAATCATAATCCAACAGTCACGAATTTTCTAGGATAGTTTTAAAGATTTTATTGAAAACCTTAAGCAACTTGTGAAACAGCGGCCGGGAAAAGAAAAAATGCATAACTTTTTCACCACCCAGAAAGAAGTGTTACATCTGTAAAGACTCCCTCAATTTCATGCTAAATGCTATTTTTGGCTGACAAATTATTATTCAATATCTGAAGTGCCCCTCAACAGTGACGAATTAAAAATGTATAATATAAATCAAAATTGATGCTACTATTACTTTGGAAGGCCATAGACAATTGAGTTGAAACTTTATCCAAGGGAACTAATGCAAAACAAAATTAAGAACAAATAACGGAGGAAAAAAGAATTGGGGATGTGTGAATAGATCTACAGACCCTAGAATATCTTAGGCTCCACATATAAAGATGTTTGGCACATCACCATAGAATAAAATTTGACTGAAAGTATTATCAACACTGCCAAATAAATTAAGTCTAGTGTATGTATAGTCCCATGGAACAATAACAAAACCAAAAAAAAAAACACATAAAACTAAGACAAGATTTAATGAAGTAAAATAAATTAAACGAACTTTACTAGTGATCCCTGTCACCCCCCTACATTGCAAAAGAGTCGCCTCAACCTTTGGTTTTGCTAGGATACACCTTGTTGCATTGAAGTGTCCTCTTGTATTCTCAAAGAGATTCCTGTGTGCTATCTCCACCTTCACCATTATGGGCCTTTGACACGTTTTAACTGAGAAACGTGAAAGACGGGGTGAATTTTTGCTTGAGGGGGAAGCTCAAGCATGTAAGCAACCTTACCCACCTTTTGCACAACCTTATAGGGCCCATAGAATCGAGAGGACAACTTCTCAAACGAACGTTTGATTAAAGACCGTAAGCGATAAGGTTGTAACTTCAAATAAACTAAATACCCACCTCAAAGTTCACATCCGACCTCTTAAAATCAGCCCACTTCTTTTGCTTATGTTGAACATGTAAGGGGTTCATGCGTAGCTCATCAAGAATGGCATCTCGTAGTTGGAGCTGTTCTTCAAAGAAGTCTACAGGTGTTTAACCCCTGCCCACTCTTATTAAAGGTGGAAGGTCCCTTCCATAAAGAGCCTAGAATGGAGAAATCAAGGTAGAAACGTGAGGAGAAGTGTTGCAAGAGAACCTAGCCCAAGCCAAACATGTAGCCTAACGACGGGGATGTCCATGTATGAAATACCGCAAATAATTTTCCAGGCTTTTTGTTAACAATTTCCGTTTAGCCATCACTTTGTGGATGATAGGCCGTTGAACGATTCAAAGTGGCACCTTGAAGGCGAAAAATCTCCCTCCAAAACAGACTCGAAGAGCAATTTTATCTCGATCTGGAACAATGGAACTCGAAAATCCATGAAGTTGAACAATTTCTTTAATGAAGAGGGTAGCAACTGTGATAGCAGTAAATGGATGTTTTTGTTAAGCCACCAATATTGCATACATATTCGAAAAGGAAGAAATAACAGGGGTAGTATGGTATTTTTTTACTTGGGCAGAAAATTTGTGAAATTACGTGGGAAGGGCGTTGGTGTATAAAAGAGTCTGTATGGAGAAGTGGGGCATTCTTTCTTGTTAGATAACAATTCCATTGGAGAGAAATCAACCTCTCGAAAGTCGATCCTTTGAAGAAATCCAATAATCCAACCATTTGGTGTGAATTGCAAATTGTCTTTTAGTTATCTGTAACAAATTGGTATCAGAGTGGTTCGAATCTGTGATGGCGACCCGGTTAGTAACAGATCGAGTCGAAGATCCGGAAGAAAATATGGCGATTTTTCAGGGCAAAATTGAATCGCTAGAAGGGAGTATGTAGGCAATGGTGCAACAGATGAATACCATGATCCGGTTAGAGGAGGAGATGAGCCGACGGGCTGCAGAAAATGGAGAATCATCGCAAGAAGAAGAAAGACGGACCAGAATAAATGAACGATTGAATGATAACGAATCGTTTCTTGCAATTAAAGGCCGAAGGTTAGAGATACCGGTGTTTGATGGATCGGATCCAGATGGATGGATTCTTAGGGCTGATTGGTATTGCAATTTGAACAGATTGACAAATGAAGAATGTCTGGAGGTGGCCGTGATTGCATTTGAGGGAGATGCATTGAAGTGGTATGAATGGGAAAATAAGAGGCGACCGATTGTGAGATGGGAAGAACTTAAGAGTTTGATGTTGATCCAATTTCGGACGAATTCTGAAGGAACCCTTTGTGAACAATTCTTGGCCGTTAAGCAGGAGGGAACTGTGGCCCATTATAAATGAAAGTTCGTATCGGCAGCAACACCGTTGGAGGGAATTCCTGACGAGGTGTTTGTAAGCCAATTCGTCAATGGTCTACRACCTGAAATTCAAACAGAAGTACGGTTGTTATCACCAGTAGGATTGAACAAAACCATGGAAGTGGCAGCGAGGGTGGAGGAAAGAAATAAGGCGGTCCACCGTTGGGGTAATTCAAAGATATCTATACCTTTGAGGAAAACCTTTGATTACAAATCAGAAGAAAAGAATGGAAACGCAGGAGGGATGAAGATTGAAAATGATGGTAATAAAGGAACAAATGAATATAGCAAACTGTCCGTAAAGAATTACAACAACGTCGTCAACAAGGGTTGTGCTACCGATGCGACGAGAAGTATGGCCCTGGAGATCGTTGCAAGAAAAAAGAGCTTAACATTGTAGTATTGCAGCAGGCAGAGGAGGAAGGAGAGGAACATACTGACAACGACCTAGAATTGGCAAATGCAATCAAAGAACCAGGGATAAAGGTGTCTTTAAATTCAGTTGTGTGATTGACAACTCCTAAAACAATGAAATTAGAAGGGCTTATGGGAAATCATAAGGTTGTAGTGTTAATTGATAGTGGTGCTTCCCATAATTTCATTTCATGAAATGTGGTTGAGAGAGTGGGCCTTCTTGTCTGCCCTACTAATGGGTATAACATATCTGTGGGAGATGGGATAGACCGGGACAAGGGTTGTGTATAACATATCTATGGGAGATGAGACAGCCATACCAGGACAAGGGTTGTGTAAAGGGGTGAACATGTGGATGCAAAGAATTGAAATCAAAGGGGACTTCTTACCATTGAAATTGGGGAATTCCGATGTAATCCTGGAATCCAGTGGCTGGCTACTTTGGGGTCGATGCAGGTGAACTGGCAAACTCAAACCATGAAGTTTCAATGGGCAGGAGAGTCGGTTAAAATTCAGGGAGATACGGCTCTTGGAAGAAGCTTGGTGTCTTTTAAAGCTATGATGAAAACAGTCTAAATGGAGGCGCAAGGGATATTAGTCGAGTTGGGCAATTTAATGGAGGAAATATGTACCTTGCAAACAAAATGTTCCAAGATCATCAGGGAGGTTTTGTTTTGGGAACGTACGAACAAGTATTCCAAGGTCCTACCAGATTACCACCCGAACGAGGAAAGGAACATGGGATTACATTGAAAGAGGGAGTAGAACCTGTGAATATTCGCGCCCCTATTGATACCCACAATTTCAGAAAGATGAAGTGGAGAAATTAGTGAAAGAAATGCTGGAAAAATGGAATCATACGACCAAGTTGGAGTGCCTTTTCAAGCCCGGTGTTGTTGGTTAAAAAAAATGGAAGCTGGTGTTTCTGCATTGATTATAGAGCATTGAACAAAGCCACGGTCCCCGACAAGTTTCCCATTCCAATAATTGCTGAAATATTGGACGAATTACATGGGGCTTGTTTCTTTTCCAAATTAGATTTAAAGGCAGGTTAACATCAAATTAGAATGCAGGAAGAGGATGTGAACAAGACCGCCTTTTGAACGCATGAAGGGCATTATGAGATTTTGGCGATGCCCTTCGGACTTACGAATGCCTCGGCTACTTTTCAATCCTTGATGAATGAAGTGTTTAAGCCGTACATGAGGAAATTTGTATTAGTATTCTTTGACGATATTTTGGTGTATAATAACACAGAAGACGAGCATTGTGGGCATCTACGAGTGGTATTACAGAAACTAAGGGAACAACGGTTATACGCCAACCCAAAAAAAAATGTGAATTCGCTAAGGAAGAAATTGGGTATTTGGGACATGTTATTTCAAAGAAGGGGGTAGCCATGGATAAATCCGAAGTGGAGGCAATGTTACAGTGGCCGCAGCCACATACGATTACTCAATTGAGGGGTTTTTTGGGG